TATACATATATATATATACATATATATATATATATATACATATATATAATATATATACATATATATATATACATAATATATATACACATATATATATACACATAAGATAATTATTCATTCTTAATGTAATAATGTTAATATAAATAATAATAATAGTACATATAAATTTAAGTTGATTATAATGAGTCTGTAGCTCCAATAACTAACACTATACACATAGCTGTAAACACTCGTATATACTCTTAGCTAATCTATATATAGTATAACTATATATAACACACAGTGAACACTCGTTACTCTCTCAGTAACATGAACAACTTGATAGGACCTCTGGAAGAGTTAGTCCAGGCTTATTCACCATGCCTTCACTCCTACAGCAAACCTGCACACACACCATCATGCTGACTACCTTCCTCATCCATGGAGTCGTCTGACATGACATCATCATCAGTGGTTTCCCACGCTGTAGGTAAACAGCACAGTCACAGGCTGATTGGTAAAAATCATTTGAAGCCACAAAGAGGGACGAACAGAAAGGTCCAACGTTCTCGTCTGATCTCAGTATCATCACTTTATCTGCTACATGTTACAACCAGTGTACAGTGGCTACAGAGGCCAACAAAGAAGAAAATGTGTGCAGGCTATAACGATTAAATGGATTAACTGATGGAGGTTTTCCAACTTAAATGTATGATAAATGAACTCATGGCTGCAGGACCAGAGGCTCTCTTCATTGGGGAGTGGGCTGCAGGCTCACGCTGTAGCTGCAACTTACCCTCTTCATCTGACACATCGAGTACTTCAGTCATGGTCTCTGGCACATTCAGCTTGTGTTTCTCCGTCACCGTCTGCCAGATCAAAGCAAACAGACCCCGTTAAAAACATGACAGTAAGTTTATTAGGCAAAGCCAGATAGTACAGTTTGATGCAGAGCAGTTAGCTTTGTTGTCTTAATTCAACCGTGTGGTCATTTTGAGAAAACAGATTTGTACTGATGTAATGGCACGCATCCTTTTTACTGTGTGCTCTCACATATGTGGCATCTCAGCCAGTGTTGTATTATTACGCCAAAGTGATGCGTTATAGCGGACAGATAAAGAAATGCATTGTTTTTATGAAGACTACAAAGTTATGTGAATTTCTAAATATGTACAATAAATATATGTACAATATATGTACAATATATAATTATACACATCCAGAAATGCATATACTATTATATATTGTACATATATTTATTAGTTTCAGATGTAGCCATTCTTGTATTTTGCTTGTTTACATTATTGTATTTTGCACAACTCTGTTGCTTGTGAAGCTCGCACACAAGAATTTCACTCACATGTGCTGTACCAATGTACCTGCACATGTGATGTGACAATAAAAGTGATTTGATTTGATTTAAATGTAAAAGATGTAGGGAGGTGTGTGTCGTGGGTAGCTTTATCCGGTTGTTCAGTCTGACGTCACTAGCCGTGTCTGGGCCTAAACTCCGCTGCAGGTCCATATATCAAACGATCACTGTGGCATTACTGAGAGTTGAAAAACTGTCTAAAGTCTTTCATCTTTAATAAAATGATCAGCGTTCTGCTCTACCAGGTGTAACAATTGAGTTTAACATCCAGGCATCCATGAAAACGGAATTTATGACATTTAACGGAGTTAGAAGTTAGCAGGGAGTTAGCTCGCTAGCTTCTATCTAAATACAATATAGCATGTCCTGACTGCGGGGTTTTGGAAACAAATTAAAACGTACAGCTCTGTTATCACTTCCAGCATAAATGAAGACAGAAAACTAAACAGCAGTGACGTTTGTAGGGTTACTGAAGTTGGGCTAGCTGGTATATAATGATGTGCTACGTGACCGCTAGCGACACAGCTATGTTAGCATAATATAAACAAGCTAACTTTTTTTCCACTGGATAAAAGTTAACGTGAGTGTTCTCGGTGGTCAGGAACAAATGTAATCGCATGGCAGGATGCTGTAAAAGGACCAAACTTCAGCCAGGAGAACAACTGAGATAATCCATCCACAATACGAGGTTAGTCATTCATATACTGCTGCATGGGCTGGGCTGTAGTTACATCCTAAGGTTTTAAAAACTGAGCTTAAATAAATGATTAGCGGTAATAAAAGCCGAGGGAGGTCAACAGTGATCACTGACTGTTTTAGGAGCTTTTTGAGATTAAATAGAAGAAAATACAAAACATTAAACATGTTAACAACACAAAAGCCATATTAAACGCAGACTACTTTAGGCCCAGAAGTAGGATTCGTCACGTCATCACTTAACGACCGGATAGGCTCATAAAGGACAGAAGGGTCCTGACCCTGCAGTCTGTGGAGGTTTCAGGTTTTCTGCATGAATTTCACTCACACTGCTCGGTTTTCCTCCAGCAGGTCAAAGCCAAACCTGAGAGTTTTATCTCTCTGCCACCTGTCCAAGGTGTAGCTGGCCTATCACAGCTCGGACAGGCTCTAAGAAGTGTGCAGGTGTGTGTGACGTACCGTGGTGGTGGTGATGATCTCTTCAGTCACAACCCTCAGTGTGTCCACCACAGAAATATAACCCAGCCTGCGAGCAATCCCCAGAGCTGTGTTGCCATTCTGCACAGGAAAGCAAACCATTATACGTGTGTGTGCATGTGTGCGCGTGTGTGTTAGTGCGCGTGTGCTTGCGTACCACAGTGGTAGCGTTGGGTTTGGCACCGTACTGCAGCAGCACATTAATGATGTGTGTGTTTCCTTGCTGCGCTGCCTGATGCAGGGGAGTGTATCCGTTCTGAAAGCACAGCAGAGGTGAGTCCTGTTTGTTCAGCTCTCATAAAACACTACAGCTGCTTTTCAGTACCTTAGTCTTGGCATTGACACTTGCGCCATTCTGAAGGAGGAAGTTGACCATCTTTGCGTTTCCATAGTGACATGCTACAATCAGCGGTGTGTAGCCCAACTGTGAAGCAAAAACAGATCAGTTACATTTCTTTAAGTCATGAATAACAACACCAGAAGCTGTTACTGTTATTAAAGAGAAGAAAACCCTTTTTTCAGACCTTGGTCTGCTGGTCCAGGTTGGCACCGTTTCTGGCCAAAATCTCAGCAACGGCCACTTTGTCCTCCTGAGCTGCCAAATGAAGGGCAGTCAGGCCGCTCTGCAGGAGCAACACACAGACATGCATTAACGCTGTTAGCTTACAATGCGTGATAGTGCCCTCTACCAAACTATCTGCTTTAGCCATTACTCTGCAGGATACAGAAGCAGAGGACAGGAACTGTGCACAGTATTATTCATATTTATAAAATTTCATTTATTGCATGAACCTTTTCTTTTTTACTGTTACATGTTATGTAAATAATATATAGATATTTTAAACTGCACATCATCACATAAATGATTCCTGGCAGTTGATTACCTTGTAGTGAAAGAGAAAGAGGCCACAGAAGAGACTGTAAAGGTCAGCTGTGAGCAGAGACAGATTGACTGAGGTGGCACTAGTCCTCTTCATCACAACAGGCATGAAGCTGTAAAGGCCAAACATGAAGGCACTGAAACCAACATAAAGAAGACCTGTGAACACATAAAGAGGTATCGTTTTTAATAGGATTTATTTTTATTTCATTATAAAGTGCTCAAATACAATAGAGAAACTCTATATAAGAACCAGTCTATGTACCATTTACCATAAAAGTGGTTATTGTGATCTTATGGATCATGCTATGAGTTATTGCTAACTCTTCATTCCCAACCTACACTGTAGAGATGCAGAAAAACACATTTGTGTACCAACATTTTTTACATACTGAGGCATAGTCACAAGCCCTTTTCTCCAGACAAACCAAGGCAAAAAACTTTTATGGGATTTCCTAACACATTTTGTGTCTTTTTGTAAGTGAACAGGGTACTTCTCCAATATTTTTCATTTTAGTTCAGTTGTATTTATATTGAACCAAATCACAACAACAGGTGCCTCAATATATTTATATATATATAGCCATATCTATATTTAAATTCTAGCCTGATTCTACTAGAGGTTTCTTTCTATTACAAGGGAGTTTTTTCTTCACAGAGTCTCTAAGTGCTTGCTCATAGGGGGTTGTCTGATTCCAATACTATGTGGTCTTTATCTTAAAATGAAGTGCCTTAAGGGACTGTTGTAAATAGTCTCTATACACATATACAGTTGAATTGAACTAACTTGAATGTGATTCCTGCCACTTTGACCAAGATCCATGTGAGCAGATCTGAGAATGAGAGGTTTCAGGGTGTTTTGCCTCCTCTTTTATGGCTGATGTACCTACCATCAAAATGCCATCTTGTGTGACTGGCAGCAGCCACTAGAGAGGGCTACCTTATAATGCAAGCATATAGCTTGAAAATTTCTTCTCAGAAGCCCATCCCTTGATAAAGCACACTAGTTCCATCTCTGACTCTGTCACTTACAGAAGGGAACTGAAGAGCGTGCTACGCCTAGAAATTCTGTCCATAAAAATTGTGAACAGAATCGGTGACAAAGGGCAGCCCTGGCGGAGCCCATCACCCACCAGGAACAAGTCCGACTTATTGCTGGCTATGCGGACCAAGCTCTTCGAAAGCGGTCGTATAAGGACTGAATGGCCCGTAACAATGGGCCAGACACCCCATACTCCCGGAGCACTCCCCGCAGGACATCCCGAGGTACATGGTCGAATGCCTTCTCCAAGTCCACAAAACACATGTAGACTGGTTGGGCAAACTCCCATGCACCCTCGAGTATCCTCAAGAGGATAAAGAGCTGGTCCAGTGTTCCGCGACCAGGACGAAAACCGCATTGTTCCTCCTGTATCCGAGGTTCGTTGTGTGTGTTGTGTGTGTGTGTGTGTGTGTGTGTGTGTGTTCAAGTCATATTCAGTTCCAGGATACTCTTAGAAGCTCTTTGTGTTCCATGATAGCCCTGCAACAAAGCATACACAGAGATTTAATAGCACTGGCTTATTTTTACAGAACCAGAGTTCCTTTAGGGTCTTGGTGCACAGTGGACAAAGAATGTTTATTCTAGTTTAGTATGGCCAAAACCACTTTCAGTGGTCCCAAAAAAGTTGATTCTGTTCATCTGGACGTAACATAACAATTTGCATATTAATGATCAAGAAACTGACCTCATGGCCCATTGTTTGCCAGTGCTGCTAGTTTCAGTCATTATACAAATGTACTCATTATACAGTTGGAGAAACCTGCAGTCAGCAGAGACTGAAGAAGTCACTTGGATGAGTGACAAAACGTTTCTCCCACTGAAAACACTATGTTCAAATGAACAGAATCAACCTTTTGGGATTGTGGTGTTTCGCTTTTTGTGTAAAGGTTCAAATTGCAGATAAATGGGGTGGTTGTAGCTCAGGAGGGAGAGCAGGTCATCTGCATACCAACTGGAAGGTTTGGTGGTTTGATTCCTGGCTGCTCTATTGTGCATGCCATATATACTTGGGAAGATGCTAACCCCAAGTTGCTCTCTCCAATGCATATACTGGAGTATGAATGTTAGATAGAAAGCACTTACTTAGAAAACACATTAAAAAAGTGCTTGTGTGAATGGGTGAATAAGTTAAGTTGTATAAACTGGCTTGAGTGCTCAGGTGGAGTAAAAGAAGTTCTATATAAGAACTAGTCCATGTGCCTCAAAGTTTTAGATTTCATTTCCTGGTGAAAATTTGTCTAAAATACCTGAGCCTACCTATAAGTTACATTCAGAAAGTGTTGTTCTTACATCCTCTCACCATTTGTACCTGTAATGTACCTGTGTTATCATTATGCATTAATACTTAATTTTTTAAAGGTAAAATGTATTCTCTTAAAGGCTAATAACAAATGCTGTAAAATACACATAGTTCAGTTAAAAGTACAATATGTCTAAAATTTGATTAAATTTAACATTCAATTTAGAAATTAAAGAAAACTACATCAAAACTGTGCTAAATATATCTAGCTTGTTACTTATTAAATTTTGACCACTTGCATTTATGAAGCATGTTTCTCCCAAACTCACAGCTGAATGCCGCTGAAGAAGGATCCAAATAGTCCCAACATGCCCAGGAATTCAACACGACTCAAGTTCTTTACAATAAACTCTTCGCATACATTGGATATTCCGTACAGCATAGCTCCTCCCAGAACTAGCAGATTCCCAAACAGCTTCTGCTCTCCTGGAAAGATTCAGGAAGAAAGAGAGGAGGAATCAACACTCACAAATGACCAAGAGACCCCAACAAACTCACAGCACCCACACGTGCATGCACCCTTAGTGGGCCACAATAATGCATTCTTTATCATATCAAATTACCAGTGGATCTGTGCCTTGATGAGCTGCTTGCAATCAAATGTAAATTTGTTGAGTGTCATCTTTTAAGTATTTATGTGTACTTGACAGTGTGTACTTGGTACTTGCCAAAGCCTTGCTGTCCACCAAGAAGAATGTCAGCTCCTACCATGCAGCCAATGCCAAGCAAACATAGACCTGTCCCGACAAAATGGACAGTCTTGTATCTCACTAGGAGAAAGAACCAGGACAGCAGCAATACCACTGGGATGACAAAACAGTCTAAGAGCTGAGAGAAAGAATCGTGCACAGAGAAAAAAATAAACAGGTTGATGATTTCTTTTTCGTTCAGACCGGAAGTGTTGTTTCATTCTAATCAGACTTATCTTTTTGTTACTGTTGACTATGGCTCCATTACTGTGTATTCTAAACAATGCAATAGGTGATTTCAGTAGAGTTCCTAGTGGTCTGTCAATGCAGATTAGATCAGCATCATTGTCAGAGGATACCAATTTAATGTTTAAGAGACCCAAAGATTAATAATCAAATAGAATAGAACAGAATAGCCCTTTATTGTCATTGTAGATGTACAATGAAATTGTGGGTGACCCACACAAACTGTGCAGGAATATAATATAAATAGTAAGACTGCAGGAATAATTATTCATCCATCCATCCATCTTCTTCCGCTTATCCGGATCTGGGTCGTGGGAGCAGCAGCCTAAGCAGAGAAGTGTCCATTTGAGCAGGTGGGTGTAGCCGGTGTGGATCCCTGCCTCCTGTAACCACCTTGGGGCGGGCCTACCATTCTCTCAACTGGACAGCGCACCTAGAGTTAGATCTGGACAATCAATGGAGGCTATTTATGTCCAACTTCACTGTCACCTCACCGCCAGTTCGGCAACCCACCTAAGCTGGTAACAGGCTCAAAGGCCGTTAAAGTTTCCATTTATGACACCCCATACTCCTGAAGCACCTCCCACAGGACACTACCAGGGACATAATCTAATGCCTTCCACAAGTCCACAAAGCAGCTCGTCCAGTGTTCCACGACCAGAATGAAAGCCGCATTGTTCCTCCTGTATCCAACTACGGACTCTCCTTCACATCTCCTTCACATCACCCATCATTGAATCATACTTTTATTATCTCTGGCTCTCTTTCACAGCATATGATTTTTCTTGTCTTCTTTCCCTCTCCAGAACAAGTCTCAGCAGATGGCCGCCCCTCCCTGGGCCTGGTTCTGCTGGAGGTGTCTTCCTGTTAAAAGGGAGTTTTTCCCTCTCACTGTCGCCAAGTGCTTGCTCATAGGAGGTCATATGATTGTTGGGTTTTTCCCTGTATGCATTATTGTAGGATCTACCTTACAATATAAAGCACCTTGGAGCAACTGTTGTTGTGATTTGGTGCTGTATAAATAAAATTGAATTCAACTGAATTCAACTGAAGTCGGCAGTGCTCCACTCGCACTATACACAGTGCAGGTAGAGCACCACTTTCCCCTCCTGAGTCGCGTAAACATATCGCAATATATATCGTGTATCATGAGAGGGCCAAAAAATATCTTGATATTAGTTTTTCCTCTCATCACCCAGCCCTACTTTATTCTATACACTTTAAGCACTTTACATACCTTGCACCCTGTGCTAATTTAAATTCACTTATTACATTTCAAAGACATGCATGTCTTTGAAATTCAAAGACATGCATGTCTTTGAGATGTGGGAGGAAGCCAGAGTAACTAAATTCTGAACTGCAAATCCCACATATCCAACCAAGGACCTGCTTGCTCTGATGCAGCAACACCTAGCATGGCACCACCATGCCACACTGGCGAGGCAGAAGTCAAGGTATCCTGATTCTTCACTGATTTTCCATAATGGAACTCAAGGGCTTTTTTATTTAAAAAAAAACAAAAAAAAAACCTCAAACAAGCTTTGTACCATAAACATCAACATTATTTTGTCAGACTTCACAAAAACTCTATGGGTACTATGAGGACAGCTGGCTTTGATGTAATGTCTGCAAACACCCACAGAAGCACTCACTCATACCAACCTGTACACTGGACAGTGTAGTGTACTGGTAAGCCCTAAGGACCAAATAGTTGGCCTCAATGTCTATGACACCCAGAATCATGTATTTCCACCAGCGCTGCATTAGAATGGCCAGCAAGTTCCCTTCCCCTGGTGAGAAACATAGAAAGGGACAAAAGGAAAGAATCTCACAACAGTATTCCAAACATAGGGACAAGAATTCACTCCATTACAGCACATGTGCACACACACACTCACACACAAAATCGTGTTTTCATATCTTAGTGGGGACATCTAATGCTTTCCCTAGCATCTTACCCTAACCATCACAAATGAAGGAATAACCCTAACTGCTTAGCCTAAACCTAACCATAAACGTATTGTAACCCTGATACTAAAACCACATTTTGAGTGTCAAAAAGACTTCAAACTCTTGGGGACAGGCATTTTGTCCCCATAAGGGCTACTGGTCCCCACAAGTTTAGTAATATTCAAATTTTTGGTCCCCACAAATATATGTAAACATTGTGTACACACACACACACACACACACAGTTACAAATGTCCTATTTAGTCAGTCAGCCAAAAATATTATTTTCTGTTTATATTTCGTGAAAATTGTGCAAGTAGTTTATACCATAAGATCAAATATGAAAGTCATTTCCACAACTTTGTCATTATCAAATAAAGTTAGGATCTTGCAACACAGAAGTTTGCAACAAGTGACAGTGAGTCTTTCACATCAATGTGAAAGATCAACAGGACCCCAAGAGTCTTCATCAGGGACTCAATGGGGACGTGGCAGACAACACTGGAGGCCAACTTCAAAGTCATAGCACAAGTCGCCATCAAGTGCAGGATGTACCAAGAAGATGCTCTGTCCCCACTGCTGTTCTGCATAGGCCTGAACCCCCTCAGTGAGTTCATTAACAACACTGGCTATGGATACCGACTATGGAATGGAGCAGTTGTCAGTCACCTCCTCTACATGGATGACATTAAGCTGTATGCCAAGAGTGAACAAGACATCGATTCACTGATCCACACCACCAGGATATACAGCAATGACATCGGAATGTAGTTCAGACTGGAGAAGTGTAGTCAGATGATAACAAAAAGAGGGGAAGGTAGTCAGAACTGAGTGGATCAAACTACCAGAAGGCAACATTGCAAACATAGAGGACAGCTACAAGTACTTGGGGATCCCACAGGCAAATGGAACCATGAGTTTCAGCACCACAGTCCAGGATGAGACAACAAACATCCACGAATACATCAGCAAGACGGCCCCAACCGACAGCGTGCTTAGTGAATACCTCAGGCAGCAGAAACCCGAGGAGGAGGAGGAACCATCATGAAGGACAGGCCCCTGCACGGTATGTACAACTGCAAATAGTGGAGGTGGCTGACATCCAGAAATCCTACCAGTGACTGGACAAAGCTAGACTAAAAGACAGCACAGAGGTACTAATCATGACAGCACAGGAAGAAGCTCTGAGCACAAGATCCATAGAGGCTGGGGTCTATCGCACCAGGCAAGACCCGAGGCGCAGACTGTGTAAAGATGTCCCCGAGACAATCCAGCACATAACAGCAGGGTGCAAGATGCTAGCAGACAGGGCATACATGGAACACCATAACCAAGTGGCCGGCATAGTATACAGAAACATCTGTGCCGAATATGGCCTGGAAGTCCCGAGGTCAAAATGGCAAACTCCCCCAAGGGTGGTGGAGAATGACCGAGGGGCTTCCAGATACAGACGGACAAAATGGTGGTGGCTAACCAACCCGACATAGTGTTGGACAAGCAGAAGAAGACGGCCTTAGTGATAGATGTAGCAATACAGAAGGAAGGCATGAAGGAACATGAGAAGCTTGAGAAGTAACAAGGGCTCAGCGAAGAGCTCAAGAAGATGTGGAGGGTGAAGGTAACAGTGATCCCAGTGGTAATCGAAGCGCTCGGTGAAGTGACTCCCAAGCTAAATGAGTGGCTCTCATCAAAATAACTAATGTCCACTCTTATTGGAGTGGACTCTGACCACTAACCTCTAACTCAGCATCCTCATCCTCCTGGACCTTTCTCTAGCCTTCAACACCGGTTTCTCATCTAACTAACCGGTGCTTTACTCTCTTGCTTTCAGTCCTATCTCTCCAACACACAACAGTTTGTGAACAGTAAATGGACATAAAGCACTTTTCTACTCTATATACAGTTGGAGAAACCTGCAGTCAGCAAATATGAAAGTGCATATTTGCTGACTGCACAGACAGTTAGTTAGAAAGCACTTTATACAAGTGCTTTCTAACTAACATTGGCACACATTCATACTCCAGTGGATGCATCGGAGTGCAACTTGGGGTTAGTATCTTGCCCAAGGATATTTAGGATTCAGACTGGAGGGTTTGAACAACCAATTAGCAGATGACCTGCTCTACCGCCTGAGCTACAGCCACCCAGTCTGTTACACGTCTACTCCAGTTAACCAAGATGTGCCTCAAGGTTCTGTGCTTGGATCCCTGCTCTTCATTTTGGTATTTATTTGCGAATCTAGTTTCATTTCAGCTTATCTGGTTAAATTCTGTCATGCCTAGGTTACAGTGTAAGTTCATGGCTTATCACGTTCCCCTTGTGTCCCACCCCTGTGTTTAAGTCTCCCATATTGGTTAGTGTGTCTGTCTGTCATGTCTCATGTCTGCGTGGTTCATGTTGTCAAGCTCATGTCACGTCTGCGTCCTATTTATAGTTCCTGTTGTATTTTGAAGGGGTCTTGTGTTCCATGGTGTCATTAGGTTCATTCTAGTCAGCTGTTTCCTCATGTGTCTCCACTTCCATTGATCTCCTCGTTTGTGTATTTAAGCCCTCTGTCTTCTTGACTTCAGTGTCTTGTGTCTGTGCTACCCACATCATGTCACAGTTTTCATAGTTATCTTGTTAAAAATCATAGTGAGAATCATAGTTTAAAGTCATAGTTAAAATTTGCCCAGTGTAAATTTAGGTTTTCTCTCATTTTGCCTTGTCTTATGTTTGTGAGTTTCAGCCCCAAAATAAAGGCTTGCTTATTGTTCAAGTTTAGTTTTGGTTCCTCATCTGTGTCTCCACCTGGGTCCTCCTCACACACTCCACACAGTCTGCCTCCGCAGGCTGTGACAATATTAACATAAAAACAAAACATAAAACAGGCCTGATGGTACTCAAACTGAACATGAATTAAAAGTCAACACAAAAAAGACTGTATAGACCCTGGTATTCATTGACATAGACAGTTGCCTATCTTCATTATTATCATTCTTATTATAATTAGATATCTAGATAGAATATTGATATTGATTTATGCACTCACACATCTTAGCTTGTGGCTTTACCTTGCTTGACTGCCAACGTGGTAGTGTACACCAGAAACAGCAGGATGTAGTTGAGGAAGCTCTGAAACACTGGAGTGTTAGCGTGAAAGTCATTCGCCAGGTATTTGCTTGTCAGACCTAAAGCGCAAATTAACAAGGACAGGACCTGACCCAGGGCCAAGGTCACCAGCAGGTCCCTGTGGAGGACAGCACACACGGACAAAAAGTCAGTTTTATGACTGAGCATGAATGGCAAGGATTATTATAATCATAAGGCAATAATATACTCTAACGTTCTCTGCTTGTTACATCATTCTCTGTCATAAGAGATGACTTATAAAATTAAATACCTGAAATCATACTTACTAATGCAATAACCGTTTTTGGCCACCAGGAGTACTTGAATGTACCAAGAAGCACACAGTGACCCACAATATTTTGTCAAAAGTATACGCTTGTCCGCCTTCACAAGTATGTGAACTTTTTTTAAAAAGAAAACCTGTCCTGCAGTCAGTATTGTGATCTGAGTGCACGGTGGTGCCGAACACATTTTGCTTTTGCAACAACAGCTATACAGAATCTCTATAGGCTCCTCTTGTTCATGTGAATCTTTTATCTGTTTATTTGTTTGTTTGTTTTTGTTTTATTTCAGACATTACATTATATGTGGAATAGTACAACGATGCCTAAGGCAAGACAGGCAAGACACCAAAACAATAAAAAAAATACAACAGGTGGGGAGGTAGAAACAAATAGACAAAAACAGACAAAATAGTTTGTTTGAAACAAACTTTCACTGGAGCTTGTAAAAACAACCCCAGACCATAATACCCAGTTTACACCAACCACTGCATCCAATGCTTTATATTGTACTTAGTGATGTAATGCTTAAATGTAGCTGCTCGGCCATGGAAACCAAAAATGATCATCACTTGATATCTTACTGTTTGTGTCTGATAAGGTTGTCCACTGTTGGAATGACAGAGAATGAATCAAAACAGTACAAGGAAGGCAGCTAAAAATTAGAAGTAGAATAGAATAGAATTAGAATTGAACTTACCATAAAGCTATGTAAAACTGAAATGGTCCTCCTCCACCAAGACAGAAATAACTATTTGTGCAATAATTACCAAGAGGATGTTGATTAAACTTGGTGGAGATGTGGGACATGAGAAAAGGAAGAACCTATTGAACCCATTCGATTACTTTCCGCATCTTGCAAACGAAGGATCAACTTAAGCCTTTCTGTAGGTTACTACAAGTGACTCTTTCACTTTGTCACGTTGTTTTCACAGCTGAAACGTTGATGTGTTGCACATATAAATTCGAGCTAGTTTAAGCTAATAGACGACACCAATATAGGAGAAATATGCTTTCTCTTTCTAGTCCCTGTCAGTACTCTCGCTGCAGCATTTTGGATTAACTGAAGGCTTTCCAGGGAGTTTTTTTTAGGACATTCTAATAATAACGAATTACAGTAATCATGCCTAAAAATAATAAATGCATCTACTAGTTTTTCAGCGTCACTGTGAACAGGGATATTTATAATTTTGGAGATGTTTCGAAAATGGAAGCGAGCAGTCCTACATATTGGTATTGGTAGGCATGTAGTAGGCAAATACAAAGGGAGTTTGAAGGATGCAGTGAGTGAGGCCAATGAGTAGAGGTGACGGAGGCTTTAGCAGACACGGGGACTGGACAGCAGCAATTTAGCGGAAAGATAAACGCAGCACGGCAGCAGACGCCGACCCAACACAACGTGTCTAGCCCTGGACACCAACATAAAACGAAATGTATTATAAATGTATTAACGCTCCTTCTCGAATGCTTTACCCTCCACACACACAGCTCTTTGCATGATGCTACGGTGCTACGATGACATCTGTTGCTCAGTATGCAGCAGAATCTGACGGGTGTGATGGAGAGCCTGTGTTTGGAGCGCAGAGTGAATGTAAATTGTTCAGCGCCATCACGATCATCTTACCTCGTCAAGACCTTTCTGATCCGCTGGTAAAGGCTTGCGGTGCCCGTATCTCTGGGAACACCCTCTACTGTCGACACAAAAGAAATCATTCTTTTACCGAGCGTGCGGATATCAGCGCATTGTGCTCGGAGGAGTACCGGAGGAGAAGGAGGGGCGTCGGCAGAGAAGCTGCGGAGCTACTGGTCTCCGTCCCGCGGGCAGCAGTGCACAGGTTGCAATGCACTTCGCAGGTGATACAAAAGCAACGACGCTGTTTCTACTTCTGAATTTAGAAGTAGAAAATTAGAGATCATCCAGGAGCTGACCTCTAACTGCATAAATCTTTTAAGATTTATTAAAAAGTTATTGGTGTGTGTCATCCGTCTTTGTGGACAGACAAAGCTCTTTATCTGCATAGTAATGAAAATATGCCTTCTAATAAGAGAAGCGTGTATAATGTAAACTGAATTGGTCCCGACATGGGACCCTGTGGAATTCCATAATGTGTGAAGAGGACTCTCCATCTCCGTGATCATATTAGATCTATTAAATGATTCAAACAAGTATAGCCCGGTACCTTTTAATGCCTACAGCTGGCGCTAATCGCTGTAATAAAATGTGATCAACTTTCGATCACTGCACAGAGGTCTAGCATGACAGGCAGAGATGAGTCCACAAGATCATTTGTAACCTTCACTAAAGCTGTTTCTATATTGAATGTAACCCTAGAGAGTTACTAAGGGTTTCAGTGTATTATGAGCAGAGATGGGACAGTAATGCATAATCTGATTACCTTTTTAAAGTAATGGGATTACTTTCTTGGAGACGTAACAGTAACGAATTACTATTTAAAAGTAACAACCAACGATTATGAGTGAGGTTAGAATATTGCATTCATTATCAAGTTTTACTAAGTAAAATTACTGTGATGAGAAATAATAAAATAGCAGGTGTCTATGATCTCCAGATGGTATGTGAAGCATTCATTGATAACATAGGCCAAGCCACCCCTCCAGGATTCTTTGAAATGATTGGTCTGGGAAGAAAATTGTGTAGTTTGGCATTGCTCAGCTTCCTTAAGAATGGCTTCTTGGCAGCAACCATTTTACATGAGGCTTCGAAAACCTATGGATCACCTGAAGGGTCAGATCCATCTCACGGGTCTTGCAGGATTTTTTCTGTTTCTATATCTCAAGGACATGGCAGTAAGCGCCTTGAGATGACTGTTGTGTTTTGGTGAAATAATAAAACTAAAATGCAAAGAATGCTAATATGCCAAGTTTTCAGTTAAAAACTTTTTTGATGGACAAATACTATTTGATGCCCATCAGAATGTCACCATTGGCATTTTTCATAGCTGGATTTATGCTTGATTCAACGATCTATATGCTAAGTGACTTTAAAAAAAAAACAATAAAAAAAACATTGTACCTAACCATTTTCAGACTAATGTCCGAAGAAAAACTTCAGACAAACTATTATTCAAGACCACCTTAAAAATGACAAACAAGTCTCGCTGCACTGAAGCAAAATATAAAGAACTGAGTCGTGTCCAAGCACACAGTGAGTCGAGGTTAAATCATAATAGAAAGAGTTCATTCTGTCATAAAAGGAGCTTTCCTTTCCTCTAAGAGTGTAAACAGACACAAAAACACACTCAAATACACACAGTGCATTTCTTTATTTCAGACCAAAAACAATGTTGAACAACCGTCTGTATGTGCATGAAACAACACTACACATGAACATGACTGCAAGCTGGAGGCCACAGAGACAAACAGAGCTACAGGAATTTCTCATATTTACACATTAGCCACTCTGCTGTTCAGCTCCTGTGCTGCATGCCCCTAAACTGCTGCTATATTTCCTTGTGATGCAGCTTGCATACAAAGATTTGTTTTTTCTTTATAGTCTATGTGAAGGCAATTTTTCCATCAGCAGTAAATGACAGCTGGAGAAAGAATGAAACAAACAAGGGTGTTAGGACCACCGAGTCTGTGGAGACAGTCTTACGTCAGTGCCATTTTTTCTTGTTTTACCGAGCATGTTCCATGAGTCCTGGAATGTGAATTCATTAGAAGACAAGCTGGTGGTAAAGATTGGCTGGCTATGTTTCCTGGTTTCCATATATTTGAAATGTCTTGTTGTATTAGAGGTCCAGCAGATGGGCATAGCTGAGCCGACGAGTAATGAGGGACGGTAGTCATTACCTGTCCAGGATGTCCTGGCTGTGTAAAGCCCACACTTGTGTATTTAATATCACTGTCCGAGCCGCTGCTGACAAGCCCCGTACCGCTGCAGGACACCCAACAAGTCCTCATACGAGATATTTCTGTGGGATGGCAGGGAGCTGAGGGCACAGAGTAGGTTACGCATTGAACATAGTGCGCTTCAAAGTGAATTCAGTTAATGACATCAATTTCAAAATTCAAACAAACTTTCATACTTTATTGCCATTATTAAAAGTGGTCCATCGAAACGTGCAAATTCTGAGACATAAAGAAGCTTACATGAACTCTGTGAGCCTGATGTGCCAGGGGAGGAAGCCCAGTGTGCTGTTCACAGGACCAAACTTCACCACCAACTCAGGGTCTGGAATATTCTTTGATTCTGAAACAAGCACAAAGAAAGCGAACATGTTATCAAGACAATCTTTTTTCTCCTATTTCCTGAGAATCTGCATGTTCTGACTATAGAATGAACTCAAATCTGAGAGTGGCTCCCATTCAGCAGTACTCGTGTAGCTGTCACCCGAGATCCACAGCCACACAGGTTAAAGAAAATTTAGGTAATATACATCCACTCTCACTGGATAATACACTTCTCCACAGTTATGGTCATTTTTGGTGCCATAAATGTGTCCAATCCCCAGAATTTTAGAAAACTTGAGTCATTATTTAAGTTAAATTGATTTTCTAGAGGTTGTTTGTTTTGCATTTATTTGTCTCCAATTGGCTGAACTGTTGCATTGCGTCTAATTAAATACAGAAGCCTAACCAGTGGACTGGAACTCTACTGTGGCAATATGTTGTGTAATACCTCTGTTACAAGATGATTTATTTCTTAAAATAGCTTAATGGTTTTTGGATATTATTTTGTGTCAAATAACAAAAAGACATTTTGACTGCTACATCTGTGCTTCTTTGTTCTTTCCAACACTCATAAATTACATGGCACACATTCACTTTTCTCCTCTTAGTATTTTTTTGGACATATCCATACGACACTTTTCCTAGGCCTCTTAACCCAAGAGGTTCAACAGTGGGGAAAAATGCTCAGGAGAAACATTTTACAGCACTTCAATGTCATGTCCATCTCTTGCATGTAAAAGTACAATCCCATGACATGGCGCAGCTAACCCGGATCCTCTAAAGGTTACGCTCCTTCTTTAAGCTGTCCAATAATGATTCAATTCTATTCAGTTTTATTTATACAGCACCAAATCACAACAACAGTTGCCTCACGGCACTTATATTGTAAGGTGACCCTAGAATAATGCAATGCAATAATAAATAAAGAAAACCAAAAACGCCAACAATCAAAACATCAAAGTATCTTTACACATGCACACAGGCATAAAGTGCTACCTCTGAGAAGCAGGTCTAGCATGGAAACATTAATGTCTTTGAAGCTCCTTTCCTTGTTTTCCACAGAGCGGCAGAGCTGCTGTGCTACATGGACAATGCTCTGCTTCCCATCGTCAGGAGACAGCACCCTCACTGTGGGCCTGCAGGACACAACTGCAACAAAGGACACATAAAAACACATTAAATTAAATATGACTACTAATGGTATTCTTCTGCAAATACACACCCAAATTTTCAACTTTGTAAATATTTTTTTTTTTAATACTGTAACCTCACTAGCACACCTGATGTAGACTACTGGAGCACACTGGTGAAGTATGGATTGAGGGATTTTAGATTACACCTGGGAAACATATTGTTGGGTAAACTGAGAAACTGCTGGGTCAATATAATGATGCTTCGGCTTCAGTCAGACATTACCTCAGTGGAACAAGCCAATTAGTGACATTATTTATTTATGTTACCATCTATGTTCATTTCGTTGACTAATAATTTTTTTCCACAAAGGAACTACTTAAAGAAAACTAAAATATGTGGATAAATACTACGATGAAATGAACTGACACTTTCTGACTCACCTATTCTTAATGCAGCCGTTCACACCGACCATGTAACTTCACTGGATGAATTTGTGGCATTTATTACCAATCCAAGTCTGAATCAAAAGCTCTGACCAGCCAGACCAGTGGACTCATAGCTCAAAACATGACTGGTCAACTGGGTATCTGAAATTATTTCTCTTCCTCAGATGTGACAGCAACTTTACCAAGAACAGCTGAAACTGCCCCATGAAATTTTACCTGCTACTTCTATCTGTAGAGAATCTGATGAACCCAGAATTTCCATTATTTTATTGTCTTAATTCGAAACTTCAGGACCAGCTCATCATGGTTTAACATTGACTTAATTTTTTTTCTTGACACTGTGTGAGGACAAAAAGTTCAGCCTGTACATACATTACATGAAAAGTTTGAACTTGAGAGTAATTGGCTCAGGTGTGTGTTTTTGCACAATTACGTAACTACTCATTTAATTGTCTTTCTTTTATTTATTTATTTTGCTGTGTTCAGTGGTTGTAGAAATGGTTTATATTAGCATCTAGCTGAGATTCTGAGGTTTCTATGGATATCAGACATGTTGATATTTGCATCAAAGAATTGACGTTAAACTGCAGTTTAACCCCTTTGCCCCCAGTACCGGGGGCTTTGGGGCTCTCCAAGGTAAAGGGTGTAAGGGTCTGAAGTTTTATAAGTGGATTCCATCTAACCTAATGAAGAACAATACAGAAAACAAAAATGAGATTGTGGGCACTTCCAACAAGTGGACACAGAAATTTTGGAATGTAACTACTTATATGTAACACAGTCACAGAATTTAATTACAAGAAAAACATTGATCTGGAAATATACAATTAAAATACAGTTACTAATCAAAATGTTGGTATTACAAGTTTAAAAGTTCTTGTTGGTAAAAAGCTTCCAAGTACATCAGAGTCTGTAATTGTATGAACTTAAAATCAAAGATATCATGCCAGGTTCTTACCATTGTGCTGGTGTTGGTCACTACCACTGCTCAGGAACTCCACACTGTGCATAGATCCATCAACACCCAGCAGATCCTGTTGCTGCCTTTTTATTTCCTCGAGTAGACGAGAGTTGTTCTTCTGAAAAACACCTGGGTTGAGGAAAAGAACATCATTCAGTTCAGGTTGATCAAAATCAGAGTTAATTCACTTCACCAAATAGACCTAAGACAGAAACAGTAATTGTGAAGAAACATGACTTTTGGATTGATAGAATCTATTTTCTTTAAAACAAAGCAAATAAATCCAAAATTAGGGGCAACTGTGGCTCAGTCAGTAGGGTGCGTGGTCTACCACTTGGAAGGTCAATAGATAGATTGGAGAAACCAGGTCTTAATGTGCAAAATACTGAATCCCCTAATGCATTCATCTACATGTGTTTAAATTTAAATATGATCAACCTATCTCTAATAATCGGCTATGTACCACAGGCCTTCAAGCTGGCTGTAGTTAAACCTTTACTTAAAAAGCCATCTCTAGACCCAGCAGTCTTAGCTAATTATAGGCCAATCTCCAACCTTCCTTTCATATCAAAAATTCTTGAAAGAGTAGTTGTCAAACAGCTAACAGATCATCTGCAGAGGAATGGTTTATTTGAAGAGTTTCAGTCAGGTGTCAGAGCTCATCACAGCACAGAAACTGCTAGACCTTAGTGCAGCGTTCGATACTGTTGACCATAATATTCTATTAGAGCAATTAGAACATGCTGTAGGTATTACAGGTACTGCAGTGCAGTGCAGTATCATATCTATCTAGTAGACTCCAATTTGTTCATGTAAATGGAGAGTCCTCTTCACACACTGAGGTTAATTAGGGAGTTCCACAGGGTTCAGTGCTAGGACCAATTCTGTTTACATTACACATGCTTACCTTAGGCAGTATCATCAGAAGACATAGTGTACATTTTAACTGCTATGCTGATAACACACAGCTCCATCTATGAAGCCAGATAACACACACCAAATAGTTAAACTGCAGGAATGTCTTAAAGACATAAAGACCTGGATGGCCGCTAACTTTCTGCTTCTTAATTCAGATAAAACTGAGGTTATTGTACTCGGCCCTGAAAATCTTAGAAATATGGTATCTAACCAGATTCTTACTCTGGATGGCATTACCTTGGCCTCTAGAAACACTGTGAGGCACTTTGGAGTGATTTTTCACCAGGATACGTCCTTCAACGCACATATTAAACAAATATGTAAGACTGCTTTCTTCCATTTGCACAACATCTCTAAAATTAGAAATATCCTGTCTCATAGTGATGCTGAAAAACTAGTTCATGCATTTATTATTCCTAGCCTGGACTACTGTAATTCATTATTATCAGGAAGTCCGAAAAACTCCATGAAAAGCCTTCAGCTAATCCAAAATGCTGCAGCAAGAGTACTGACAGGGACTAGAAAGAGAGAGCATATTTCTCCTGTATTGGCTTCCCTTCATTGGCTCCCTGTTAAATCCAGAATTGAATTCAAAACCCTGCCATTAGAGCATTTCACTCTCACGCTCCCGGCTTACATGTTGTTCATAGAGTATTTAAAAGTAGAATGGGAGGGAGAGCATTCAGTTTTCAGGCCCCTCTTCTGTGCAACCAGCTTCCAGTTTGGATTCGGGAGACAGACACTATCTCTACTTTTAAGATTTAAGATAAAGCATATAGTTAGGGCTGGATCAGGTGACCCTGAATCCTCCCTTAGTTATGCTGGCATAGGCTGCTAGGGGACTCCCATGATGCATTGGGTTTTCCTTTTCAGTCACCTTTTTCACACACTATGTGTTAACAGACCTCTCTGCATTGAATCATAATTGTTTTTAATCTCTGGCTCTCTTCCACTGCATGTCTTTTATCCTGTCTTCCTTCTCTCACCCCAACCGGTCGCGGCAGATGGCCCCGCCCCTCCCTGAGCCTGGTTCTGCCAGAGGTTTCTTCCTGTTAAAAGGGAGTTTTTCCTTCCCATTGTCGCCAAAGTGCTTGCTCATAGGGGGTCATATGATTGTTGGGTTTTTCTCTATATGTATTATTGTAAGGGTCTACCTTACAATATAAAGTGCCTTGAGGTGACTGCTAATGTGATAAAATTGAATTGAAAATTGAATGTATGTGAAAGTTAGATAAAAGTACTGTATTTACGTCTGTGTGATTCAGTAATCAGACAGACACAATGTGGCATGTTGTATGAAGTGCTTTAACTGAGGGATAGGTAGAAAACTGCTAAATAAGAAACCGTCACCATAGTGGAGACTTTACATCATTTGGCAATGACAAAAACTACAATCTGTGAGAGACCCTAAGGTGAGGAGCTTGGTCATTAGAGAGGGATGGAATAGAGCCGCTGCTCCTCCATATCAAAAGGGGCCAACTGAGATAGTTTGGGAATGTAAAATAACTTCAGTCAGAAGGCACTCTCCCTAATTCAGTCAAAACATTAATATCAGTTAGCTTTACAAGATTTGTCATTTAGGGAGAAGGGGACAATAATTTCAACAATTTGAGGCTAAAATGCTCAGCTGCAGTATAACCTCCGCTTAAAGTTAAAAAGCAGAAACATAACTGTAACTGGGGAAAAAAAGCAACAAAATGAAGTCTTGATGCATGCTCAATCATCCAGGTAAGTGAATCCCAAAAGTTGATTCTGTTCATTTGGATGTAGCGTTTTCACTCAGAGAAGCATTTCGTCACTCATCCATGTTTCCCCAATCTTATAAACAGTGCATTTGCACAATAACGTTTTATAAGGTTAGTGAAAATCTGCAGTCAGCTGAGGTCACTGTCACTGTCAAGTTACTTGGATGAGTGATGAAACGTTTCTCCTACTGAAAATATGACAGCCAAATGAACAGAATCAACCAAAAAAAATGAAAAGATGAATACAAGTTTAATAGTTAAATATTGCGCAGTTGTTTTAACGTTTGAATAGTGTCTGTAGCTGAAAGTATGTTGAAACAAAATTAGGATTTGGAAGTGGTGAAAAAAGACAGATTTAATTTGCATTTAATGTAAACAATTAAACAGGGCATTGCTAATCTCAAAAGGAAAAGATTCGCTACATCTGCAGCCTAAGCATTAAAGGGGAAATTTACACAGAGAATGAATGTAATACAATGTAATAGTAAAAGCCTCAAAGTTGGAAACAATATCTTTAAAATGCATATTAGAAACAATGTACATCTAATAATAATAAAAAAAATGCTTAAGAGTCAGAAGAATACTGAATATTTAAAGCTCACATGCATTAATACTCTTTAAGACTGGAATTATGATTTTCTTTTTTCCACTTAAGAATCTGTGTGTGTGTGTGTGTGTGTGTGTGTGTGTGTGTGTGTGTGTGTGTGTGTAAGAGAGAGATATAAAGATATAATATATGGGTTCAGTGACATCTGCAAATCATTGCATTCACATTGGATGAACTTGTCCAAATAATATCCAAACTACACTAAACTACGTGTATAGTTTTTTTTAAAAAACAACAAATTTAAAGCTATTTTTGATGAAACTGTGATTTATTATTTTATGAACTTCACTGTATAAAAACACAAGCAGCAAACTCAGCTGATAGGAGTAACATGCTTACCGTGATTATCATACACGCTAACATAGGATATGCCGACAGCCATACACCACACCACCACGTTTGCTATGTCCGGATAACTGGGCTCTTCTTCCGCAACCAACAGGCCGATATGGACCGGTATCTTCTTCAGGGACTTTCCGTCAGACAGACACCGTGACCGGCCACCGCCGGTGCGCTTTTCAGTTATCGGTTTAACATTAGCATCTGGGCCATGATTCAGATTATTCTGAAAGTCTGGAAATCCAACTAGAGATATCGGCAACAGCAGGACGGTCGCTGCTCGCTCCCACAGCCGGCCCTTCCAGCTCTGGATGCGGACGTGGAGCCAAGAGAAGAGCGCTCTGTTGACGTGAACGAGAATCAGTAATAGCCGCCATAACAAACTGTACATAAGCGCCATTCGTGTCCGCATTTCGTGTAGGGGGAAAACCCCGGATAAAGTACAAGAACACGACCACTTTATTCTGATATATTATCCGCGTAAATGAGCTCAGCAGTGCTTATGGCTCATCATGACTGCAGCCATCTTGTTTTCTGGTTGGCAACCTCTGAACTCCGAACCCCGCGTGTGATACACGTAGCTCTCGGATTGGACAAGGTAAGCGAGACGCTGCTGCGTCTGCGTTTGACTACAGAGAACCGAACAGAGTAGTGATGTGTCGGTCGCGAACGAAATGGCTCTTAGAGCCGGGTCTTTGACGTGAACGACGTAATTTATATTTAATTGTATTGTGGTTTGCAGTGTTTTGTGTTGTTTCACTTTAAATTTGTAAAAGGAAAAAGCTGAAAATTTAAATAGTTAAAAGTTGAAATGTGAATAGTTGATTTTTGTATTATATGATTTATTTATTACATTTTATGTGGAGTGAATAAATAAAAGTATATTTACGGTGGCCCCTAGAGACAAAGCACATACAAACTTCAAAACACGTAAAACTCCAAAACATGTAAAAACTCAAAAGCAGTAAAAACTCCAAAACATACAAACTCAGAAGCACATAAAAACTCAAAACACGTACAAAATACAACAGAAGTGCTGCCAGGATGCTAGGGCGCAGTGTTGAGCTTTTGTTACCTAGTGGCTACACAAGCCAGCAAGTACCAACGACCGGATTTGGTGTGTGGTAATAACAGGTAAATGAACTTTTTTTTTAAATTATTTGAATATATATGAGTGCTTGTGTATAAATACACAAACAATACACACATGCTTTCAATTGTGTAATTTAAGTGATCTAGGTAGCTCTGTTTGGAAGTTCAGTTCATGCTAGAAATGTGTTTTGGAGTTTGTACGTGTTTTGTCTCTAGGGGCCACCGCATATATTTATATATAAACATATATAAATAAAACCACTTTTTTTTACATTAGTAATTCCTTTTGTGCATAATTTTATATTATTGTTAATAATAAATTAATTAAAGCAACAAAACAACCTGAGACTGAGCCGAAAGAGCCGGCTCTTTTTAGTGAGCCGAGCCGAAAGAGCCGGTTCTCTAAAAAGAGACGGAAATCCCATCACTACAGTGTGGTCTGTTGTTCATTAATGTAAGTCATGGAATTTAAATTGTGTGGACTGGACTCAGTTTTCAACTCATGCAAGTTTAGATAATAAACAGCGTCTATTTTTCAAAGTCACGCTATTCAAAAATTGGATAACTTCAGGGTCAGCTTTGAAGTTATCTGGATAAGTCAAAAATCCTGTTTCATAGGCCTCTATACTGTGAAGAAAGGCTTTAAGCTTATGTGGGTAACTTCAGGGTTGACCCTGGGTTTTACTTTACAATCACTGTACATTTTCTATACACATGAAGAAACAGTGATATTTCTATATGATTCTTTAATGTAATTTCACTGTACTTACGGAGAGAACTTTGTACCCACACTGAGGCTACTACTGGCTATCCTCACATATTCAGTTTTTTCACCAAATACATCATCTAGTAAACGACTTCATTGTGTATGCCAAATTTTGCTAGTTTTGGTCATGAGTTATTTAAAAATGAATCTGTTCTGTCACGCACAAAGAAATTACTTGATCAACAACTTATAAACAAAGTAACCTTGAGAGCTTAAGTACAACCTGATATCAGATTGCACGCCTAACTTAACCTTTCATACAACTCATAACATGGACGACACAACAGCTCCCCAAAAATGAAGCCAAAACGTCTCTATCGCCCCCTGGTGTCTGGCTGCAGTATAGCTCATAAATCCCACCTCCTCCATGTTAGCGGATGGGACTGGGGTAAGACTAAAATAAAAATTTCTCCAAAGATTCTTTCGTTAACTATCAATAGTTCTCATCATTTATATTCAAGGGGTCTCCTTTCCCATGTTTGATTCTTTGACTGGCAGCTGCAGTCACGGTGAAACTTGTGTTTGGGAACGGCAGATAGAGCAGGCAGATTAAGTTAAAATTTACGTTTAATTTTCCCACTAATTAATTAATTTTTTAGCACCGACTCTGTATTTTTATTTTTATTTTTACAGAGTTTGATTCAGGTTAAAAAACGAATCTGAATTCATTTTAATGGTCACAAAGTTACATGTGCAGCACTCTGGACAGCTTACACCCTTTAAGAGAAATAATTTGTAACATTATTATTTGTTTTTCAGTACTCAGGCAGCAGCTTTAACACTGCTGTATGTCTGACCACAATGCAGGAACAGACTGAACCAGGACTACAAACCTGCTCCATCTTCTCATCTCTGGAGATTTCCATTTACAAAGCACCAACAACTCAAAGGTAAATATTATATTGGAAAATCTGTTTATATATGTTGTTTATATAGTATGTATGGTAAATAAGGCTTTGTCCTTTTTTAAATAAACAGCTCGTATGTCAGCAGAACTTTTCCATTTTTCCATTAATAGAAAAATGATCAACATTATTCATTTCCTGAAAACTGATAGTGAGCAGTTATTCATTTAACAGTATTTATTTATAAGAAACAATATTTTTATTATATACAAGGACCAATGCATTTTCATTTTAAAATCACAGTACATGTTCATTTAAAAGACAATCCAATGACAATCAGAAAATAAAAAGAGACAGAAATACAAGTTAACATTTAGAATTTGTTTTATTGATTTGGAAAATATTCTCAAACTGCTGAGCAATTTGATTTAAACAGGGCCCAATAAGAAAAGCTGATTGAAAGAGCTTTATATTATAAAGACCCTACAATGCAAGAGAGAAAACCCCAACAATCTGATGATCCCCTATGAGCAAGCACTTGGCAACAGTGGGCAGGAAAAACCCCCCTTTTAATGGGAAGAAACCTGCGGCAGAGCCGGGCTCAGGCGGGCGGCCATCTGCCGAGACCGGTTGGGGGATTATAATCCAGTTATAATCAAATTTCTCTCTTGCGACGACATTTTTGATGTTTGATGTATTTAAGTATTCATCTGCAAGGAAAAAGATGACTGTTTTTCCTTCAAGATGAATACTAAGTTGATGTTAAAAAACACCACTTCAAGTTGTGCGTCTAAATGGCTTGGTGATGGCTTTGGCCAACAGTGAAGGGTCAAGGTCAAGGTCAAGGTCAGATTTATTTATATAGCACATTTCCAACAGCCTATGCTGCACAAAGTGCTTAACAATAACAATAAAATTAAAAACAACAATGTAATACAATAATAACAATAGAAACAATAAAATAAAGGAATTGAAACAATACTAATTAATTTAGATAAATCCAAAATGCTTGGGTCATAATGTGTTAAAAGCCAGAGCATAAAAGTGTGTCTTGAGTAAAGATTTAAATTGCTCAAGAGTTTGAGCAGATCTAATATTAAAGGGGAGACTATTCCAAAGTTTGGGACCTGCCACAGAGAAGGATCTATCACCACGAGATTTTGAG